GGCCAAGTGTGAACCACGCATAAGGGGAGGGTATAAAAAATCTACAGCGTCCCCTTTTTTACTATAGTTTTGGGGGGAAATCGGGTTACGGTAAACTAATTCGCAGAGCTATGACGCCCTATCGTACCCGGCGCCCTGGGCGGCTATCCAAATAAGCCCTACTCTAACACCGGTGGAAGGTAATTTTTTATACTTTTTATTGTTTGTCATATTAAAGTTTTTTTTTCGTCTAAATCTTTTTAAATTGTGACAGATGCCTTATTTAGCAATATCAAATGGTGTTTAATTGAATATATTTTAGTACATTAAAATCATTAATTAAGAAAGTGTAAGATTGTAAAGTAATTTAAATTGGCTGAATCCAACTCGAACAAAGCCGGATAAAGGTTCTGTTTATTGAGATATATTTTTTTAGGACATTACCTAATTCAAAAATATTAATAACATCAATAAATAATAATACCTTAAATAAACTGGCACATATTTTTGCGACTTCCAGAATTTAAGTAAAGGTTCAGTTAGTCCGAAACTAGTGCCTAGGTAGTCTAGATGTTCTGCGGGGACTTCTGTTAACCTTCTTAACAGTGTCGGTGGTTTTGCCCTGAAATATGTTAAAAAAAATATTTATTTTAACAATAGTATAACATAGAGAAGAAAAAAACATTTTTTTTTTCGAATCCACAACGAAAGTCATGCCCGTTAGAAAGGTAGGCAGAAATTACAATTTTTTGGGTCTGGTAGATGTCTTTTTTACGCATAACTTTCACATTTACGCAAAAATATTCGATAATTTACTAATGTTATTAACTAGAATTCACCCTGACTCGGTCTGCGTGGAACAATAAAAAAAGTAAGTATCCTGTATGTTCTTCCATACTATACCCTACATCTGTGACAAACATCCATCCATCCAAACTTTCGCATTTATAACATTAGTAAGATATTGTGTTTAGATGGATGTTTGTTAAAGTTTATAGCCTAAACTGCTGAACTGATCTTAATTATTTTTATAAATGTAGAGGATAATCTGGAAGAACACAGGAGATACTGTTTCTTTTTTTTTTTCATTTTTTATATAGACATATTTAAACTTTTTTTTTGAGAAGAGAAATAACTCTAAAACTATTGGACCGATTTCAAAAATTGTTTCACCATTAAGCTACGTCAGTATAGGCTACAGTCCTAACCTGGGCAGTATGTTCTCCGTGTGCAGGTCGCCGTGCGCGCTGTCCTCGTGCTCGGAGTCGGCGTGCTCCAGGCAGGGGATGTCCCCGCTGTAGTAGGCCGCCAGCTGCTGCAGCGCGCGCTTGCCGTAACCCATCTGGGAATGTCACCAGCTGTACACAATGGGCTCGGAGACTACCCTCAGGGATGAGCCACAGTCAACTGCGGATGCTGCACGATGCACTTACCCTTTGGTACGAAGGATGTGTAGCAATCCTCACAATCCTGGCTCCAGAGAGCTTGGGGAAATCCTTGTCCCCGAACTGCTCGCAGATGTTCCAGGGTATCAGGTCGCCTGCAGCCTTGCGCCCGCGGCCCAGCGCCTCCGACACCGTCCTAGGGACACACATCTTACTAATATTATAAATGCGAAAGTTTGGATGGATGAATGTTTGTTAGAGTTTACAGCCTAAACGATTGAACGGATTTCGATGAAATTTGGTATAAATGTAGAGTATAGTCAGGAAGAACACATAGGCTACGTACTTTATTTTAATTCCGCGCGGACGGAATGGCGGGCGAAAGTTAGTTTATAATAATGACTAATTTTTGCCCTAGGCTTCGTCCATTGGGTATTAAAAAAATAATAAGTAGCCTATGTGTTCTTCCTTGCTACCCTCCACATTTATGTCAAATGTCACCGAGATCCGTTCAGCAGTTAAGGCTACAAACTCTAACAAACATCCATCCATCCAAACTTTTACATTTATACTTTTGTTTTTTTTTTTATTTTACACGAACGGAGTCGCGGCCAAAAGCTAAAAGGTAAGCTTTCTTATTTCCACGCGGACGAAGTCGCGAGCAACAGGTAGTTTGAAACTTACTTATCCGAGATATTTCCTTCCAAGCACATCTGCACGACGCATAATACTTCGGGCATAGACGTGGACTTGGGCGGCGTCGGCGCGAGCAACACGAACAAACAGTGCGCGGGCGCGTCCGCTAACAATTGTATGTCGTTTGGACTGTTCTGTGTACACAAATATATATCTATACTAATATAAAGAGGAAAGATTTGTATTTTTGTATGTATTGAAAAAAAAACTACTAGAATTTCAAAAGATCTTTTATCATTAAAAATCTTTGTTATCACTTAGTAACATTTTTCTAATTTCACGCAGACGAAGTCGCGAGCAACAGCTAGTATTATATATCAAAATAGATAATAAGTATTTGATCACTTTTGTAACTAGATGGTTAAATTAGGTAAACAATGTTTTTCGATTTTTCGGATTTCATATGTATATAATTTACCCGACATTGTTACTGAAAAGAAAACATCGTAATGCCTGCACATATATACAAAGTAATAGAAAGGTATGTGTGAAGTCAACCCGCAGTGCTAGTCTAAGGCTTTGTCACTTAGGGCAGGCTCCCAGCTAGTGGGGACACCTAGGTGATGATGAAATGGTTAAAAGTAGGATTGGAACGGAACTTTGCCTCCGCATCCGCAAGTGCGAAATTTCCGCAAGAAATATTAACTCCGCATCCGCATCCGTTTCCGTTAAAGTGGCCTCCGTTACAACCCTAGTTAAAAGTGTACTTTACCTTATAATGACTAGCGACGTATATAGCGACCAGCCTGTGTAGGAAGGCTTCCGCAGCCTTGTGGTAGCAGAACAGCGCGTCCCTGTTGACTCGCAGCAGCTGGCAGGCGGCAGGGGGCGGAGCGCCCGCGCCCGGCGTGGGGCTCGGCGCCTCCAGGCATAGCAGGTTGTTCAGCCATCGCTCCACGGGGTCTCCGGTCCGGTAGCGAATTGGTTCTTCTAGTTTTATCTGAAATGTTAAAAAAAAAAATTTTTTATTTAGGAAATTAACATGAGTAAATGGCTTGATTGGAGAAGTATGGAAAATTCAAAATGGCCGCCGTCACAAACTATTGGATACTTATAATCACTTTCTATCAATTTTTGCCTTTTTTAATTGTAGTGATAAAGATTGAAACATAAATAAATAATTTTATTAATTTATGTTTTTGTAAAATAACCCCATTATGGGTATCAATTGGACGACCTTGACTAGTACACTATGTTTAATACAAGATGGCCGCCATTACCCGAGTAATGGCAGTGAATCCCATTTGCAATATTAATTAAAAAACAAAACTTTCTATGTTTTATTAAAGCATTCTTACTCTTAACAATGAATGAATAAAACTACTATGTAGTTGGCATGGGAAAAAACTCAGTAAAATTATAAGTAAAAAATTAAAAGATCAGAAGTAGAATCAATGAGAATTCAATTACTTATATACTTAACGTAATTTATTAACGTTATGGTATATTCTACACTTGATAATATTTGACTAAAATATCGCAGAACTAAACGGTTGTGCGATAGTTCAGTCGGTGTGTACATACCGGTGGTGGAGCGTTATGTTCCGTCTGCAGCTGAGCGAAGAGTTTAAGTGAGAGCGCGCGGCCCGTGCCCTCGTACCCCGACACTGTGGAGGAGAGCAGCGCGAGCGGCGCTTTCTGTGCCGCCGCCGACACGTGAGCGATAGGTATCGCTGCCGCCTCGTCTACTAGTACGAGGTCTGCTGCCGCGAGCAGAGAATGGTCGTCCGGGGTTATGTACTGGGGAATGTTTTAAAATTTTTAATATAAGAATATATAGTATTTATAGGAAATATAGGAATATATAGTAATTATATAGGAAAGATTTGTATTTTTGTATATATATAAAAAAATTTAGATGAAAGTTTAGATGGATGGATGTTTGTTAGAGTTTGTAGACTAAACGCCTGAACGGATTTCGATGAAATTTGGTATACATGTAAAGGATAGTCTGGAAGAACACATAGGCTACTCGCTTTAGTCTTTTTTTTAATTCCACGGACGGAGTCGCGGGCGAAAGCTAGTCATATATAAAAAATAAGCAGACTATGTGTTCTTCTATATTATGTTCTACATCTATGTCAAATTTCATCGTGATCCTTTCAGCAGATTAGGCTACAAACTCTAAAATCCATACATTTAAACTTTCGCATTTATTATAATAGTAAAAAAATTGATATATTACTTCTTAAATTGCATAAAAACGTTACGCGGGATGTTACGAGTTGTAACTTTCGTATTGATCGGATCGTAGCTTATTACACTTTAGTTATATAGTATTACGTACTGACTTCACGCATGTTCGCCATGTAACACGTTACATTACACCGCGTAACGTTACTCAGTACACATCTTCAAACAAAAAAACATAAAACATTTAAATAAAGATCTCACCTGTACAGTCTGTCGTGAATTCCTAGCGATATTAACGCGAACAATCGCCTTCTTGAAGTCCGGGTTAGTTGAGCGCACTATGTTATAATCAATGTGTTCTTGATACAAGCAGGTGTCGAGTCCTTTCAATACAAACTCAAAGAGTGTGATGAGATTCTCCGGATGTGGCGAGGTGACGTAGATATTGACGTAGCCGAGGGCGACCGCGGCCGCCACAGCTAGACCTAGGCAAGCGGACTTGCCACGACCTCGGCTAGCTGTCAGGCAATGTGGCGGTCTGGTATAATACATGGAAAATGTTAACTGCAATTGACTTATTATCTATACTTAATATTGTAGAGGAAAGATTTGTATTTTTGTAGGTATTGAAATAACTCAATATCTACTAGGCGATTCAAAAATTATTTTATCGTTAAAAAATGTTATTAGTAACATAGGCTATCATGCTAATATTATAAATGCGAAAGTTTAGATGGATTGATATTTGTTAGTGTTTGTAGCCTAACAACTGAATGGATCTTGATGAAATTTGGTATAGATGGTCCTACTTTAGTACGGAATGAACATTTTTAACTGGTAACTTCTTTGAAAGATACTGTTAGTTGTGAAGTTTAGTGCCACCTCATGTGTTTGTATAAACATGTTATAAAATATTTTATAAAATTATAATAAGCTCCATCTTTTGTTATAAAACAGTGTCATAAAATAGAATTTAATTATTATTTAGTGACTATTGGCAATGAGGTTGTTTCCTAATGTTACAAATTCAAATAAAGTTATGTTTAATATTTTAAAGAGAGTATTTTAAAACCTATAATAGCATTTGGAGACCTTAAATGTTTGTCTCCATTGAGATATAAATTTAAAAAAAAAACAATCAGAGCTCGGTGACGTAGCTTCTTCGCAAACAACATGGCAGTGTGACCAGCATCAGTGAATGTCAGTGCATTCTGTAGTTATAATTTTTTTTAATGATTACAATAATTGAGTTTGCGTGTGTTATATTATGAGGACTCCATTATTAAGTGTTTTTATATTTACGACATATTTTACGAGCAAATTTTTCGATCACTATCACAAAAAAAAAATAGTAAAAGTTATTTGAATAGCTAATTCAATTTACGTCTGGTCACTTTGAATGACTTTGACAGACCGCGACGCGAGGTTTGTTAGCAAAGAAGTGACGTCGTGTCATGAGGCGTTTTCGCGGTCTTTCGAGAAGTTGTTTTTAGTTAAGTGTTTTTGTAATTAAATGTTGCGTATATGCTTTTATTATATTTTTTTTCTTGTTTAGATATGGTTTATCTACATAATAAAAGCAATTCCAAAAATTAGGAAACATCCCCATTCATTTAAATAAAATTAATCATATTGACATGTGGTTTTGAGGCTATCAATAGAAAGCCTAGTGGATCATGTGAAAAATGTGTTAAGTGAATTGTTAACTATGCTTCTTTAATATATATTTTTTTATTCTCTTATATAAATACCTTACCTAGATTGTTTATCAGCTAAGGTGTTAATAAGTGCGACGAGTGCGGTCGCCTGGTCGTATGTGCGACAGAGAGCTACTAACGGACCAGCGGGCGGTGAATCCGATAAAGATGATATCAAATCCGTCAATTTTGGATTTACTTTCTGAAAACATAAAAATGAGATATCTGTATACTGAAAAGTTGATAAAAAATAAAACAATAATCGATTTTTTTCTATACTCATATTATAAAGAGAAAAAAATGTATTTTTGGATTTTTCTATGTATTAAAATAACTCAAAAACTACTTGGTGGAAATCAAAATTTCTTTCACCATTAAAAATCTATATTATCAGTGAGTAATTTTACGTGGACGAAGTCGCGGACAACAGCTAGTGTTAAAATAAAAAGGAAACTTGATATTAAGTTTAGCAATTTTGACAATGATGTAATATGCTTCTAAAAAGAAATCTTATCACATCCCCGAATTTCTAAAGATCATGTCATGCCACATTAAAAAAACAATAAAAAAGTACATACCTCAGGCAGCACATCAACCGGTTCAACTTGAGCTGTCTTTGATGAGATAGGTAGTACTGTAAGTGAGTCATCTAACACTAGACATCGAGGATTGTCAGCCAGTGAGAGCAGAAAACGTTCATTAAATCTGTTTACCACTGTATCATATGCTTCTGTTTTAAACCTGCAAATATACATACCATTTACCTGCTTTTTATTGCAATTGCGTCTGAGCGGAATTAAAATAGTGACAAATATAGCCTATATTCAGAAATAATGTAGCATTTTAATAGCAAAAGACTTTTTTAAATTAGTTGCCATGGGGATAGTTTATGGCAACCTTGCTTCTTTGCTGCTATTGGTTAGTTCTTGTCCCTTACTTGTATGACAATTTTAACTATTAATTCACCCCCTAAGTTTAATTACATAGCCTAAAGTATAAGTGTAGGGATGTTTGTTACTAAAGAATTATACAAAAATATGCTGTGATCGGCTCAGTGGTTTGAACACTTGACTTGTAATCTATAGATCTTGGGTTCGAATCCTGCCGTGTAACCATGTGATTTTCGATTATTCGAATTTTCATATGTACATAATTTACCCGACGTTCTTACTGTGAAGGAAAACATCGTGATGCAACCTGCACATATCGGTGAAGACATTCAAAGATATGTGTGCAGTCAACCAACCCGCACTTGGCCAGCGTGGTTGACTATAGCCTAGTCACCCCTTATTAGGGTAGGCTCCGAGCCCCTCGGTGGGGATGTATAGTGAGCTGGTGATGAATGAATACTGTGATTGCTGAGATCCTACATAAAGATGTAATGTTTGTTTGCACTTTATTCCATTAGTAAAAATATAAAAGTACAGATAGCAAAATTAATTGTTATTACCTAGAGTGTACATCCATAGTAATAGAATGTAGCTGTCTGAGCGAGTCCATAGACTTCAGCAAGAATATAATAAGACCACCACCCTCTACAGTTTCTATTGTACGAGCCATTAAGTTAGGAGTTAGAGCTTCAAAGTCCTAGAACAAAAAAAAACATCTATTATAAATACTACTAAGTAATAATAAATTAGTTAATTTTATGCCTAGCAAGTTATTTTTGTTGTTATTACCTGTAATACACACACTCCATATGTCTGACCGAGCATAGCATGACTCTCTGAGTAATATCTACCATGGATTGTGGTTGCAACTCTGAATGCATCAAACAATGACTCTTCTGACACTTCCAGCTTGCCTGCTGCGATTTTCTTTGCTCTTTTACGTCCATGGCTATTTGCAAAGAAATTGTATTTAATATATGTTTTCGTATATTATGAAACAGCTAAATTGAAAGCATCAAAGAGTTTTATATGACTTACTTGCTTATAGCTTCATCCTTATTTTTGTAGCACCAAAGGACAGTTGGTCTCGATTTAACAGTTGATTTTACCAGCATGTCATATAATATAGGCACCTGCAAATGAAATTCCGGCAAATATTAAGTAAAAAAATTGACATCTCTAAAAAGCCAGAATATTATTGGAAATTATAAACTTTTATAAGAACGATAAAAGGGAAGAGTATTATCAAGTTTTGTTTAAGGGACAAAAGCTAAAAAAGTAAACTTTTAAAAGGTCGTGTATGCAAAACAACAGGTGGATATCGGCATATAAATTTGTAAATTTGAAAACATACCTGATCTCTGCTCTTGTCACCTACAAGCAAGAACATAGTACGATGTCCTAATTTTACACCATTCTCTATCATCACTCGTATACGGTTATCAATTTTCTTTTTCACCATTTTTCAGTTTTACTTTAGCAACAACTGTTCACAGCAAAATAACCTTAAAAGTCAAAAGCACATGCTGTCATGCTATTTGTCCAATCAAATGTCAAAAAACATTCAATTTTGACCGTTGACAGTTGACAGTGACAGTGACAGTGACAGTGACAGTTTCCTGTTTTTCTATTTCATAAACATTGTCTATTCTCCGTTCTTATCCAAATAGATGACCATCCCGAAGACTTGTAATGTAAAAGTTCACATTGATGATGTTTTATGCTGAAACGATAAATCTTATGTAATGTAGCTACTAGCTACTCTTATTACATTATTGGTTCAAAATCCTACCACCACCACAAACCGAAACCGTCGCCCCTAAAATATCGAAAATCAAATAGGCACAAAATACAATAACTCAAAGCCCATAGCAACAAAAGAAAACACCACTTACTCTTTGATCGATATTTTTCACTTCATTCTTATTCATCATTCAATCATTGTTTTGTACTTTTGTGTAAATCGTAATGTGAATTTGTGAAATCTTGATTTTGGGATTAATCTTATCAATAATGTGCATTTGATCGTTAAGTAATTGTTTCGATAAAAGAATATCAAGCTCATATCATATTGTAATGACTGTCAATCCAGTAAAGTGTGACAGTGTACGAAAGACATAATTTATTGTAATTCCTTTCAGCTAGTTTCCGACAAATGTAATTTGGTGCTCGTTATGGAGGATTATAAATTTCTATTTAAAGTTGTATTGGTTGGTAACGCTGGTGTCGGAAAGACATGCTTGGTGCGTCGTTTTACCCAGGGGCTGTTTCCCCCTGGACAAGGTGCAACGATCGGAGTGGATTTTATGATTAAAACTGTGGAGGTGGATGGCGAGAAAGTGAAGGTGAACAAGTTCACAGCCCATGTCTAATTTGGGCATTTTTACGTAAAACAATGAGCTGTTTTTTACATAAGACAAGATCCATGCATATTAATGTTACAGTGTTAACTAAAATTTAACTATTTCTGCAATAAAAAACTTAGTAAATCATTTATTATGAAATAATACTAACTTATATTTGAGATAATTTATCCTTGTTTTATACTTGTAGTTGCAAATATGGGACACTGCGGGCCAGGAGAGATTTCGGTCTATAACTCAGAGCTACTACAGGTCTGCACATGCACTTATCCTGGTGTATGACATATCTTGTCAGCCTACATTTGACTGCTTACCCGATTGGCTGCGGGAGATTGAGGAATATGCCAATAACAAAGTGCTAAGGATATTAGTTGGTGAGTTGCATATCACTTATATATACAGTTTAAGACAATAGTAAAATAATGGTTTTGCATGCATAAGTCATGAGCAAAAGCTAGTTTTTATAAAAAAATTATATTCCAGTTTTAGAAATATACATCTTTGTTTTATTTGAACAGATGTTTTTAAATGTTCATTATGAGAACACTCATAAAATGTATAAATGTCAATTTATATTTTATTTGCAAGGTAATAAAACCGACAGAGAAGATAGGGAGATACCAAGGCATATAGGGGAGGACTTTGCACAGAGACACGGGATGTACTTCCTGGAGACTTCGGCGAAAGAGGCCGAAAACGTGGAGCGGTTGTTTATGGAAATTGCTGTTGAATTGATGGAGGTAACAAGATAATAAATAAATTAAGTTACTATAAGTTAATAGCAAGACATACCTACTAAAATGCACCTATTCTACAGGCAAATATTTAAGAAGTTAGTGATTTTAATAAATATTTTACAATGAAAAGCATTTTTTATAAAACAAAAGTTGTATTATGAAATAAAATATATAGAAAGTATTGTAAAGTGAACTTAAGTAAAAGTATTATGTATTGTTTCAATATGAAAGGTGTAAAAATTACTGTTATGTGGCCAGATTAAGTATTACATAGGGGTAGGGCTTGACAGGTCACAGTGTTAAGTAGAGATGAAAAGGTCAAACAGCTGCACATAATGTTAACACATGTAATAATGTTTGTCATATGTTTTTAAAGACTTACTGTCTATTCCTTTGATTCAAATATTGTATAAGTTATGTTACCAGAATTTTCTAGGAAAACCTGCTTTATTGAAAAAAAAAATGTTGATTTGAGCTCACTTTGTGAGGTAAATATTTTAAAAGTAGAGATTGTTTAAAACAATGAATCTTTTTTCCCGATCTATGGTAATACATGGTTTAAAGTTCGTAAGAGATAAAAAAATTAATAATTGTCTATTTCTTTTTCAGCAAGCGAAATGCAAGGAGTTGCCCAAATACGACGGCAGTTTAGGTCCTATAAATGGAAAGACTACGTCGGTCGGCGACAGCTCCTGTTGTCTCCGGTCTTAAATATACGAATTTATCTCATTGATATTATTAGTGTTGTACAGCGTTTTTATAAAGAGACCGGTTTATCGATAATCCAAATAGATTCGATTTTCGCATCGTAAAATAATAGTATTTTCTAAACAATTTTATCAAGATAAAATTTTCATTATTTGATTCGCTTCTTGTAGGATGTAGATTAAAAATTGTAGTGAAAAGTCTCTTTATAAAAATGTATTTATTATTCGTATTCGCTAGTGTTGTGTTGTCGACATTCCAGTAGGGTTTAGTGTAAGAGCTATGTAGCAATATCATGATTAGCAAAAACCAAGGAGACAATTTTGAAAGCTACAGTTCTGGTTAAAATCTTACTTATCTTCAGTACTTAATCAATACAATAAAAATCAAAAACTTATAATTAACGTAACTAATTGACAATTAATGTTTGCTTATTGTTGATTACCATTTAGATGATAGTTGCGAAAATGTATATTCGTGTTCAATTTTCGTTATAAATTCGACCGCACGAAACGTCAATTAACTGGATTTACTCTTACTCTATGATTTATTTATTTTTTTCTGTTTGAAAGTCCGAATTTTCATTCATAATTTCTTGAGATTGTTTAAAAATTATAATTTTTGTTTATGATTGATTTATTTTTAAATTTTGTAGTCGTGATATTGTAACATAGTGTTGAAATTAATCAATTTGCTGTTGCAATTTTTGTTATAATTAAGTAGTTATTGCATTAGTTGCGTTGTGGTTATATTTAAGAATTTCGTCGATATGTTGTACTATTTTGTAGGTTATATTTTTGTGAAGCCATTGCACATATACATTGCAAGGTAATTGTCACATCGAAGAAGTTTTTTTTTTTAATTATTTTGGTATAGATTATGTCTGATTTAATCTGTGAGATATTGGATCTTCTTGGCTTGTTCAGTTGCTTTTGACTAATGAAATAGCATCGGAATATGGAAATATGCAATATCTGTTACTCAAATAACCTACAAGTTGTGAAGGAATGTGATCGAAAAAATATTTACATGTGCAATTATACTTATTATTGTATAATAGAGAAATATTTTTATTTAAACACAGTACATTTGAAAGATTAACTAAAATGGGTTTTTATTTTTATATTTTGGTCAAGTTTTACATCACACATTTATTTTTTATTTTGACATAGGAATTATATTTTTTATCTGTGAATTGTTAATTTTAAGTGTAATGCACGGTACACACTTGGCCAGTGGCGTTGGACAGTTGCGACGGCCAATCATTGATTGTGTGGACTCACGGGCCAGTTAGCGTTCACACTATGCCAGTTGATTGACAGTCCAGTTATTGTACGTTAATGACCAACTGTACTGGCCAAGTGTGAACCGCGCTTAACATTAATGTTGTATTTATTGTACATTTACATGTAAGGTGCCTTTTTATTTTTTTAAACACAAAAACGTAGGTTTAGTCGATCTATTCTCCCTGAAATGTAACCCCTAGGGGTAATAGGTGTCCAAGTATACGCTTTTTAAAAAGTCTTATGTCTTTGAAGTTTTTGTCAATTTCTATTGACTCTAAATTCAGGCAGACCCATGAGATGTCGTACTTAAGTTAGCGATTTTAAAGATTCTTATATTCGTATATTTTTCTTATTATTTTGAAATAAACAATGAATTTTTGGACATCTATAACCCTTTTGGTTATAGTTCAGGGACAACTGATGGATTAACCTAAAATCTAGTGTTGTGCACTTTGGTGTCAAATTAATATTTTGTGATTTATTGTGACGTGCAATTTTGTTGAAATTATAGCAAATGTCATTGTTTAATGTTGCTTTAGTATTTGGTAAAGTAAAGCTGTCTTATTTCACATTTATGTAAAAAATATATTAAACCACTCGTGTAATAAAAAATTACAGATCTGATGTAAAATTGGGCTCTTTCAAACCGATCGATTCGAATCACTGATCGCTTTTGAAACTTCAATCGATTTTTGAGATTTGCGATTCTGGAAAATCGATTAGTAATTGTGATATTTTTGTAAAGAATTGTAATATAAGAGAGCTTTACCAGGAACTTGTTGAAATGTTGCAAGAATGACAAATGCTGTTTACTAGTTATTTGTTTAAAAGTTAGTTACATTTTTTTACTTAAGCTTAAAAAGTCCATTTACTTGCCACGCCATGTTAAATGTTGTATTGTTTGAACTTATATAGTAATAAAAAAAATTTCTAACGTTATCATTGATCATAGAAAATAAATTCTCACCAAAGAAACTGAATTATTGTAATACTCGCAATAAATAAATGAACACTGAATATTTTGGTGTTTGTTTTATTTCTATTTATACATATCAACAAATACTTGCTCTAACTGTCGTATTCGTCGTAAAAAATGTAGTAATATAGTTAATGTTAACTAAGTAACAGTGGTAGTGCCCGCTTTAACACCTTAGCACGAATAGGCCGGCACGCCCGGTGTAATACCACGACCACACAGAAGACAGGCGTGAAATGGAAGCAATTCCGTGTTTCGTCTGATGAGTGTGGTGCCGGAGGCCTAATTTTAGTCCCTTTCTCTTTACCACCCTTTTCTCACAAGAAGAGGAAGTGGATTTGACGGTGGAGGATATGCATAGGAAGGGGAAATATCCTCTTTATGTGCATCTCCTCTTCCGTCGGATAAGGGTAGGCAACGCATCTGCAATTGCGGAAGTCTATGGGCAGCGGTCGCTTCGCCATTTTGGCGGATTGTGGTGGCCGCTTGCACGTTTGCCACCTTATGTTATAAAAAAAACTAAGGGGTGACTAGGCCATAGACAACCACGCTGGCCAAGTGCGAGTTGGTTGATTTCACACATATCTTTGACTTCTTCGCCGCTATGTGCAGGTAGCATCACGATGTTTTCCTTCTTCGTAAGAATGTCGGGGTACATATGAAATTCGAAAGTCACATTGATACATGACGAAATTCGAAGTAAAGACCTGTAGATTACAAGTCATGTGCCACCCACCTAAACCCCTGATCCACCTATTCTCTCAGTGATAATATTGTTAATAATAACAAAATAGCAAATCTTTATAATATTAGTATAGACACAGATTACAAGAACATGTAGACTATAGTTTTTTTTTAACTTAGTTTTCAAGACCAGTTGCGGGTGACATTTTATATATGGTAAATTAATTGCAAGGCCAAAACCAGCTTTTCTTTATAAGTAAGTATCAGAATTGTCATTATCTGGTAAGGTAAAAACTCGTTAACAAAACCGCACCTTTTCTTTGGACATGGTATTAAACTGGTTCGAGAATAAAACTTGAACTTAGATCATGTTTTCAGTATCAAATGTTTATCGTTATTATAATTTATCTATTAAAATACCGTATGTATTGTTTTTAATCTCGTAGGGTAGACACTAAAAGATTTTTTAAAGATTACTCATTTTACAATATCGATATTAGTATCGTAGACAGTTCAACTCGATTTTAATCTCGATGAGTGACACATCACGTAGGTTGTTTTATCGATCGACTCGACACTAAATGCCGCTTCAAATTGAAATGGCCGACGTTTAGGGGGAGTGTCTAGCGGAAATTAAAAATCTTATTGATATATTTACTTGATTCTGTAAGTACAAAGTGCCAATTTGTTATTATTCAAATACTGATAATTATAAAATAATTTTTTATTGTGCTGCAGTAAATTAATTGATAGTTTGATACATTTCCGGCCCCTGCTGCTACAGTATTCAAAACAAAGTGTTTAATATTTTTAATTTGTGTACGTGTGATAAGACGTAATTATTATATGAATGAAAACCATTATTATTTAAACATTTGCGTGATTAGTGGAAGTGTATTATTTGTTATTTATTTGCATATGCATTAACTGTGTATTTAATTCATGAAATGTTATAATTAAGCCGTCTAAAGAAACGCCGACGTATTTTACGAATTATCGACAATAATTTTGTATATCAACTGGTTTCTAAATTTTCAGAATATCTTGTATTTAGCGAAAGGCTTACATTCCAAATTTAGAAGACTGATAAGTATTTATAAAGTGGCTGAAGATGGCCTGGCGTTTTAAGGCATCGAAGTATAAGAATGCGGCACCAATTGTGCCTAAACCTGAGGCCTGCATACGAGATGTGTGTGTGGGATCATATCAGACATATGGTAACAATATTTGTGCCTCCGCTGCATTTATGGCATTCAACTGGGAACATGTTGGATCTAGTATGGCTGTGTTACCGTTGGACGATTGTGGAAGAAAGAGTAAGACAATGCCTTTACTCCATGCACACTCTGATACAATAACAGATATGGAATTTTCTCCATTCCATGATGGACTCCTATTGACAGGCTCGCAAGACTCATTGGTAAGGGAACATTATATTTTTTAGCTATCTCTTTCTATTATATAGCAATGTCCTACTTGTTGAATGAAGCATACGGTGTTATCTGTGTTTCTAATTATATTCCAGCAACTGGCTATTTGATTTATTTTTAATTATCACAGCTGTGAGCGGCCAGTATGTTTTAGAAAGCATTTCTAATTAACTTTGATATTACTAAAAATTGTATATTTGTGAAATTTAACATTTATCACATTAATTAGTAAAATTGAATTCACTTTTATATCTTGCAACTAGTTGTTGCCCACAATTCCATCTATAAAATTAATTATGAGGTATTACAGGTCTAATCCTACTTCTTTTTAAATTTCACCCATAATCCATTCAGCCGTTTGTAGTTCTGAAGACAAACATCCATCCAAACAATCATTTACAATATTAATGAAATATCACTAGAAATGGTCTTTGAAAAGGATGTCTTGATATTGTTTTAGATAAATTTCTATTTTTGAAAATGTGATGAAGATATTTTAGGCTTATCTACTATTTTCAAGCATTAAATAGATAACTTTGAACTGTCCATATATGTACTAAAGATAATGGACTGTACAGTTTGATAGTAGGCTTTTCCAGTTTAATAATCTAATAATTTAATATGAATAGAAATGCCTGATGTATTTCTTGAATATATAAAATCATTCATAATCTTACTAATATTATAAATGCGAAAGTTTAGATGGATAGATGTTTGTTAGAGTTTGTAGCCTAAACGGCTAAACGGATCTCTGGAAGAACACATAGGCTACAAACCTTTGTTTTTTTTAATTCGACGCGGACGGAGTCGTGGGCGAAAGCTAATATTATATAAAATGAAAAGACTAAATTGATTTCTTACAAGTAAATACATGTTACAGGACAGTTAATTTATAGTATTAACTAAACTAGAGTAATTTTAACCATTTTCTTACTGCATCATCTTCAATCTGCATTTTATACTTTAATGGTCATTTACTCAACTATTCAAGCTTTTTAACGTTGAAACCGTGTTACTACGTAGCATAGTCAAGTGTACCTCTTTGCATGTTTTATACAGTTTACGCTTTTAAGATTTTTCACCGTTTTACCCGTAGTTTGCAGTTTGGCATCGTGCCAAGATCTGTATACCAGCCCTATTATGCTAGTGACTGAGTGATTTACATTTTAAAAATGGTTTACGTGAACTTAACTGTTAAATATAAACATTGTTTACTTACGAAACATGTTTAAGTACGAAAGTAGTTGTTGTAAATAAGGTAGATAGAATTTCTTTTTCGATGCAATACTTAAATTTACCTTCATTTCCTGGTATAAAATAATACATCAGAAATGTCAACTTAATAACATCACCATTTTTGTATATAACATATTCTCTTTCTCTCTCTCTCTTCCTCTTTATGAAAATTGAGATAAACATATTATAAAGTATATTTCAACAATCAAAACTCACTATTGCCATGACAACAAAGCTCTTCATTACGCGTTTCAAATATTTTGACGACTTAGGCTTATTGCATACCTACGAAGAAACTCACGTGAACTTAAAACTATAATACAAGGTGTTTTTTTTTTTAAAGTAATATTAAATCTGTCAATCGATTACAGGTTAAAGTATGGCACATCCCTCAGGAAGGGTTGAAGGAATCCCTTTCGACTCCGGAATGCACATTATCACAGAAGCAACGGAGAGTGGAGAATGTAGGCTTCCATCCAGTAGCTGATGGGCTTATTCATGTAGCGTCGGGATACGAATTGGCACTTTGGGATTTAACGAAACAGAAGGAAGTATTTGGTAAGAGAATCTGCCTCAGTAAAAAAAAAAATCATCCATAGACAATTAAAAAAACGAAAAACCTGGATTATTTGCATGCAATTCATTAATTATTACACTTTTAAACCTCAATTTTACTATTAAATTGTTATAAAGAGAAATTATTTAAATGTTTGTGGTAAATAAACTCAAAAATTACTGTTCCGATTTCATAAATTCTTTCAACATTAGGGACCTATTTTATCCCTGAGTGACATAAGCTGTATTTAATAATGTATTAATGTTTAAAACATTTTTAGTGAACAAGGATCATGCGGAAGTAATTCAATCAACATCATGGAAGAAGGATGGTCGTCTTCTAGCAACTTCTTGTAAAGACAAGAAGGTTCGCGTGCTGGACCCACGAGCACCGGAAGCTGTGCTCAGTGTTGCCAATAGCCATCAGAATATCAAGGATAGTCGGGTTGTGTGGCTCGGAGACAATGATAGGATACTTACTACTGGTGAGTTTGTTAAGTACAAGCATATGTAAATAAATAAAAAAAGTTAGAGTTAAAGTTAACTAGTACAATAAATGGATAGTTTTTACCAGGACATAAGTTGTACTGTTGTCTTTTTTAAACGACTTACAGTAAAATCATCTAAAAATTGCAATTTTTTGAAATAAAGAATACTTGTAGTTTGCGTTTTTCATGTAACATGGTTCCATGCCGTTAAATTAAGTTAATTTAAACATTAAGAGCGCGCGCACACCTATGACTAAACTATCGCATAACTGTTTAGTCTCGCTTTGATTGCTAAGCTTATACAGAGCACACTATTCGATGTTTAGTTATGCAACTAAACAGTTAAATTGGCTATGAAACAATCGACAATCGCACAACAGTTGTGCGATAGTTTAGTAAAAGGTGTACGCACGCTCTAATAAATCTAAGTTACTTCTATGATACCTTTAAGTACAGTTTTCAATAAAAAATTGTAACAGGTTTCGATTCAGCCCGTCTCCGTCAAGTGATGATACGAGATATTAGAAATCTATCAGAGACCCAGAAGACGTTGGAGTTGGACTGTTCCACTGGAATCCTGATGCCACTCTTCGATCCTGACACCAATATGCTGTTCCTCGCTGGAAAGGGGGATACGACTATACTTTATATGGAGTTAACAGATCGGGAACCATATTTAATTGAGGGGTTGAGACATTCCGGTGAGTTATTTTCTAACTGTTTTTGTATAATTTATTGCGTAGATATTTCAATAATCAAGAGACACTAAAGAAGAAATTTAATTACTAGCTTTCGCCCGTGATTCTGTCCGCAAGGAATTGTAAAAAAATTAAAGCAAGTAGCCTATGTTTTCTTCCAGATTGTTCTACATGTATGCCAAATTTCATCGCGATCTATTCAGCAGTTTAGGCTACACTCTAATAAACATCCATCCATAAATATTCGCATTTACAATATTAATAAAATTTTAGTCATACTAAACCCCATATAACTGTCTGAATTAAGCCCGCTCTGATTTTTTAGACTGAAGAGTTCAACTATTTCTAAATACAATAATGTCGAATGTCTATGTCTAAATACAATAAATACAATAAATAATGAAATTTATGTAATTTGGACTATCGAGAAAGTTCTGGAAAAAAAAATACAAATTAATAAAAAAAGGAAGATCGAAATTCGGGGTATATAAGGGGAGTCAGTCGTGACTCGGAGAGAGATACGGTGGAAAGTGAACTGTGAAGAAGTCCTGAGCGAATTACGAGGAAGATTAAGTGACCGCGGAGTGAAAGTGCTAGTGAATAGTGACAGTGGTGTTCTGTAAGTGCGCTGTGTTAGTGATTCAGTGTTTGCGTGCATCGTGTAGTCTTGACTGACGATTTGTGAGTGCAGTGAATCCGTGTTATTGTAAGTCGCGAATAAATTAACGCAGAAATTTCCAAGGCGTTTTGACTCTATCCCGAACGCTTGTAACAATATCAATGAATCAAATAAATATTGCCAGTTATTGTTGTATAGGTTTTTAATAATGTGAAGGAAAAAATCTTGGTTTTCTTTTTTTTTATTAGATGTAAAGGAAATTTTTTGTGTTGTTATCTCTTACAAAGGAGTAATTTTATTTAACTGGTAATATGAACGCTGCTTATCTACTTTTAATCTAAGATTTCTTTATTTTATCTTTCTCATTCGAGATAGTTTCTCAAAGAGATATTTTTATCTTGCATAATGTTATATTTTTAATAAAATTACGAGCTGTTAAATTGCACAAAGGTCAATGAAGGTTTTTGATTTTGGGTAACAATTATCGTTACCATGGCGACCTTGTTTCCTTGATGTTGTCAGCTTTTAATTTATGATCCCTTCCCCTCATCAAAGTTTTTACCCATTTAAAAACTCCCTAAGCTTAATATTGTGAAAATATATAGCCTAAAGCGTGACTGAATTAATAAAATCGTACTGCCTCTTTCTACAAATTGAGTGCCACATCCATTTTTTTTTAAATCTTTAGTCATTTCGGATGTTTCTTAATTAACTTTAGATTTAAATGAATACTAAGTTATATTTGTATGTACCAGGCGAGCAGACGAAGGGCGCATGTTTGGTGCCGAAGCGCGCACTGCGCGTGATGGAGGGCGAGGTAAACCGCGTGCTGCAGCTAGCGGGCTCCTCCGTAGTGCCCATCATGTACCAGGTGCCCAGGAAGGTAATACTGTGCAATTAATATCAAAATAAACACTATTCCAATTGGCTTGGGGATAATTTCAAAGATTTTTTTCAAAATCATATTATCATAGTATTTAGTACATAAATATAAGGATGTACGAATTTACTCTATGGTAAGGTGTGACGTCATTAGACGCCATGACAGGTTATAGTGTTTTCGCGGGACTTTGTAATTTATCTATAAAATAATACGTAATTTGTATCACCACTACATTTTTAAATATATCATACATTGCTTTACAGAATTAAAATTATATAATTATCTAGCTGTTAGTAAATATAGCCTATATTACTTACTGACAACATAGCTTTTTATTGATGATTTTTTTTAAATCGGCCCAGTAGTTTGAGTTATTTAAATATATACAAAAATCCAAATCTTTCCTCTTTATATTAGTATATTGATTTTTTAATGTGTTTTTAACAGAGTTATAGAGAATATCACGCGGATCTGTACCCGGAGACGAGCGGCGCGGTTACTTACGTGAACGCGGAGTTGTGGCTTCAGAGACAAGAGCGACCAGTTCCTAATATCTCCCTGCATCCTGACCACAATAACTGCACCCAGGTATAACATTTAGAATAGAATAGAATGTGTATTTACTAGCTGTTACTCGCGACTTCGTCCCCGTGTAATTAAAAAAAAAGATATAGCCTATGTTACAGATAAATTACCTTTCTAATGGTGAAAAAAAAATTAAAATTGGCCCAGTAGTATTTGCGTGAATCAATTAGTCTAAATAGTCTCCTGGATCTAAGCTACCTCCTCACCAATTTTCAACCATATCGATAAAGTCGATTTTGAGCTAAAATAGTGTAACTAACACTACTTTCTTTTTATATATATATAGATTGCCACAAAATACAAACATTTACCTTACTTCTTACTACCACATTAATGTTTACACGCAAAAGTTTAGATGGATGGATGTTTGTTAGAGTTTGTAGCCTAAACTGCTGAACGGATTCCGATAAAATTTGACATGTATCTGCAAGAAAATCTGGAAGAACACGACTCATTTTTATTGTTTTAAATCCCACGCGGACGGAGTCGCGGGCGTAAGCTAGTAATGTAAACGAGCTATCGCCCGTAAATATATTAGCGAAATTAAAAAAAGTCGTTAAATAATATTGTCAGTGACATTAGTATTCGGAATTTTTGTACAATTAAAAAAAAAACCGTAAATGTACAGTCACCTTCGTTCGAGGTGTTACACTTAAGAAAAATCTTTTTAAACTTTAAGGGACGCTTAAAAAAGATTTACTATTGAGAACCAATTTTAAAATTGTTGTTTTTTTTTTCATATAGTTTTGTGATTTTTATTTTAATAAATCTTGTCGGTTTCGGTGTAATGGAATCAATATGTAGATTTACTGACAGACCCAGAACGATTAGAGCGCGTGCACAACTAATACTAAATTATCGCACAACTGTTTAGTTTCGCTTTGATTCCTATGAGTTTATACGGAGCGCACACTCTTTTAGTTGTGCAACTAAAAAGTTGAACGCTGCGAAACAACCGACAATCGAAACAGTTGTGCGATAGTTTTGTCAAAGGTGTGCGCCCGCTCTAAGCATTAAAATGTTTTAAGTTGCTTAAAAATATATTTTACGATGCATGTTTCTGTCTGTGTGTACAAGCTATTAGTAGTGGTGTTGTGTTTTTTTATTTTATGGTGTGGTTTATTTTTGTGTTGGTTATAAAGTAAGTAATTTAGTTTTTTTTTTAAATTTTTCATTGCTTGTTCTTTAATTATTTTTTTATTTTTGAATATGCTAAAAGACTTATTGGTTAATCTTTTGTTAAAGGTACACCGGGGGAATTTAGAAGAAGTAGTCAAAACTATCTTAGCAATGCCTCCGTTAAAGAAAACGGAACCAAAACCCATAGTAACACCGCATATTATAGAAGAACCAGTAATTCCTAAACCTCAACCAGTGGAAGATAGAGAAGATGATAGAATTGATTTCGTCAACGTGAAAGATATGATCAAAGGCATGGAAAGACAAACAATCGAACCAAAGGAATACAATAAAGAAACCAACGGTTTTCATAAGAAGATCACCGATAATCATGATTGTACAGAGAAAGAAGATTGTGATAAGACTGAAGAATGTATAGAGAAGGTAGAAGAAGAGAGTGTTTTAGAGAAGAATGATAGTTTAGACTCAACTGAAAGTCTATCAAGGAGTAACAGTTTGATAAATGGTGTGCAAATACAAGCCCCGAAGCCTTTGCCCAGGTCTTCGATATCTGAAGCCGGTTCTATGGATGAACATTCCGAAGCCCCAAAACCTAAACCTAGAACTACTACTTCTGCTGTTGGATATAAGGTATTTTTGTAAAGTATAGATTTGTTTGATTGATTTTTGTTGTTTTTTTTTTGTTATTATGATTGTTATGTATTATTTTTAAGAATTATGCTTATTGTTTTCAGTTCTTTTATGTTATTGTTTTGTCTGTGATTTTAAAGATATGTGCTATTTTTATGCTTTTATTTAAATTTTTTAATGCATATGATTTTTGTAGCATTTTTTATTTGTGTTAAAATGTTTTTTTGGTGTTGTTTGATGTTTTTTTTTACTATTTTTCTTTTATGTGATGTTTGTTATGTTTGCAGCCCCGGTTGGGTCCTAAGCCGTTCTCTGCTTCGTCTAGCAGTGAGGAGTTTTCGTTCGACAAAGTGTTCTCAGTGCCCGCGGTGCCTGGCTCCGTGACCAAGTCTGATTCAAGTAAATATACAATTATTGTATTATCATCATTATAACCAGCTCTATGTGCGTGGTCACTGAGGGGCTCGGAATCTATCCTTAGGGTGACCTGTTTTTGATCTTTGACCTGTTTGTGACTTCCCGAAAGAAGGAGGTACTTAATTCGTCTGTAAATTTTTTCTTTAATGTTTTTGTGTTAATTTCTATGTCTAACTAAGAATTTAGAAATTAATCTTTTGAAAAATATATTAAAACTAAGTTTTCGTTTAATTTTCGTTTTTATCTTCAATATGTAACGCTATACTTTTGTGGTAATTAAAAAAACTTTCAATCAACCAGTTCTTTATACAGACACTTTTTACAATTGTGAATTTTTAATAAATTCCAGTGACGTCACCGGTATCGGGTACTGCTGCGGGAACTCCCGCTATCTCCACTCCTGTCGCAAAGGAGGAGGAGAAAGAGAAGTCTCTATCTCCTACTAGCGATGTTGAACCTGCCGCTAAAGGTATATTTACTGTAATAAAGCCTTTTATAAACCAGTCATTACTGTTTTCTAAACGGTCTGTTAAGACAATATATATTGCAACTTTCTTAATATGTTTTATGAGAGAGATTAGAGAGTTAAGCTTAACTTAACTCAAAACAGATTTGCCCTCTTTGTAAAAATGTTTCTGTGAGGAAAATATATATTTAGTGATTTTTGTCATTTTTTGTTACAGAAGAATACACGAATGGCAAATCAGATACCAGTTTGGAGGAGGAAGTGAATTCCTCCGACTCCGGCTACAGGCCGAAGACACCCAGCACCGCTGAGAGGAGGAAAATGTTTGAAACTACCGAGTAAGTAGAAACCTAAATATTTTGTAGTCGAATCTGCAGTTTATCTAATCTATGACTCGTTGACATAGATTAAAATCATCATAGATTATAATTGTCATAGATTAAACTCTTCCAAAATAAATTTTCATAGATTAGCAAATGTTATATATTGTAGTAGCCATTAATTGTTGTCTTTTTTTTTTCAGTGGCAATCAATCGATAGCAGACCGTCGACGTGCGTACGAGTCTCGTTCAGTAAGCGTGGCCGCAGAGTCGGAAACCCCGCCTTCACCTGCACCACTTAGGTATTCATCTCTCTTTAATAATGGACACTAAAGGAGTGCCTTAGTGTAGATGTAGTAGGATAAATTTACAAAAGACTATACTAGCCATTAAACTCTGAATTTTGGCTAAAGATACAAATTGATATATAATGGTAGTGCAATATTAGTGCCATGTATAGGCCGTATTCGCTATTATTGCGAATTCAGATGGTCACTTACCTCGTTTTCCACCCTATATTATAAAAAACGAGTTTATTATACTGACATTTTAAAAAGATTGGTATTTTTGTATGTTTTCAAATAACTCAAAAACTTCTGCGTCGATTTCAAAAATTCTTTCACTGTTGACTCTAGTAACTTAGGCTATGTTTTTTTTATTTTTTAATTTTGCGCGAGCGAAGTCGGGTGCAACAGCTAGTAACAGTATAAAAAACAATTAGATAAAGCTAATAATTACTTTATCGATAAGGAAGATTTTATATATCGTATAATACGTTAATTAATGTTAATTTCAGACGCAGAGACTCTCTAAAGTCCCGTAAAAGTCCGGATCGCGAAGAAAAAAGATCCTCAGTGCCCAATGTCACTACTAAGAGAACTTCCACTGTATTTGGTAGATATCATTTAAATATATTATATGCTTTATTTCACTTGAGAAACCTGTTAAAATATTTTAATTTTAATATTAATGTTTTGTTTTTTACAGGCAAAGTATCGAAATTCCGTCACTTGAAGGGTACACCTGGACACAAGTCGACGCATGTTGAGAATATTAAAAATATTAGTCGCCAGATATCCGGAGAGTCTAATGGTTTCTACGGTGAGATATATTTAGATGTTACTAATATTATAAATGGATGGATGGGTGGATGTTTGTTGGAGTTAGTAGGCAAATGCTAAAATTTGTCATGGATATAGAGAATAGTCTGGAAGAACGCATATTTACTTTTGTTTGTACACGCGGACTGAGCTTTAGATGGATGTTAGAGTCCTACGGTTGAATGGACCTCGATGCAATTTAGTACATTTCTGGAAGGACACTTTTATCTATTACTGCACGGAGTCGCAGGTTAAAACTAGTAATATATACATCTGCCTAAGGTAGTACGATATCAGAGTTAATGTTATTTGACATATGTGGGCTGTCATTGGTAAAGTCGGATTCATGGAATACACTCACAATACTTCTAAATCGATCAACGATTCCTATTTTAAGAATAAATAAAGTTCTCTAGAAAGTCGCTTGACGGCGCTTGTGTTCTAATTACGATTTAAATTCTAATTGATTTCTTTTTGCAATATAAAATATTTTTTTTTATAATACTTCTTAAAAAGAGTTATTCATTAATTTGTAATTTGAAATAAAATGTGTTTCCAGCTAACGGCGTCCGTTGTGCGGTCCCAATATCCGGCGGGGGTGGTCGCGTGGGGATAGTAGAGTTGCCCTGCGGCGCCACCCCCCGCGCGGCGGCGCCCCGCCCGCATCCTTCGGGGCTGCACCCGCCCGCGCTGCTGCACGCCGCGCCCCTCACAGACTGCGCCTGGGACCCCTTCTGTGCGCAACGCCTGCTGGTCGCCTGTGATGATGGGATCGTCAGGGAGTGGATATTACCAGAAAACGGTAACTAGGCTTCAATTATTCTGCTTATTATCCATATTAATATTTAGAGCCTGTCCCACCACTGGCTGATAGAGGCTCAGATAGCTACTTCTGATTACTGTCAGATAATGTAACAAAATCCAATATTTCCATCACATATTTTACATGTTCGATTGTTATCAGACAATTTACAATCTTTCAAGTTTCAAGTTTCGTAAAAAAAAATCTATCTTTGTTCATTATTTTCTTTTAAAATCCTTTCTGACATAACCGTGGTAGCAGTTTACTGACCATGCCAGATATCCTTTGAAGCATTTTAAACCAAATTGTAAATTGTCTGATATCAATCCAACGTGTAAAACATATGATAGAAATAATGGACTTTGTTACCACTGACAGTGGCGTCATTTTTGAGCTATCTGAGCCTCTATCAGCCAGTGGTGGGACAGGCCTTTACTATCGCAAACCTATACACATTTAAATTTATCTCATTTGTGTGTACAATATAGTTGTGTAACTATTCCAGGGTTACAAGAATCAACGAACGAACCTAACCGTACATTCTCCGCGCATCCTGACAAGATTTACATAGTGCGTTTCCACCCGACTGCGGCTGACCTGGTGGTGACCGCGGCTCACGACCTCACAGTGAAGTTGTGGGACCTCTCGCAGCAGGAACCTCAAGCTGCGATCACCCTGACAGGACATACAGACCAGATCTTTGCATTAGATTGGTCTACTTGCGGGGAGTATCTCGCTACCTTGTGCAAAGATGGACTTATACGGGTGAGTGTTAACGGAATCTTTTATAGAAAATAGATGCCCATAAACATTTGCGATTGCTGATGCGTTTTCTACCTTTGATAGACGGAGGAGGAGACGCACATAAAGAGGATATTTCCCCTTCCTATGAGTCTCCTGCACCGTCAAATCGACGATCACTTCCCATCCTTTTCTTAAAAGAAAAAAGGTGGAGGAGACGCATAGGAAGAGCATCCTCTTTATGTCTCTTCCGTCGATTAAATGTAGGCAACGCATCTATTATAATAAAGCGTAAACACACACATCTTTGTTGCCTAACATGTCAGCAATTACAGCATATTTTTGAATAGTTCTTTTATTAATAAAAAGCTCTACACTTACGTCTTTAGGCTATATATTTTCACGCCATTAAACTTAGTGGGTAAATATTTTTGATAAAAACCCTAATATGGGAAAGAGATCATAAATTGCTGCCATTAAGGAAGCAAAATTGCAATGCTTTGTCATCATGTCATGTCTGTCATTTTAACAAATGTAATCAATGAAATGTCGCAAGGGAACAGCTAGTATAAAAAATATTAATATTACAGATTTACAAGCCGCGCGAGTCGGTAGCGGCGCTTCGCAGTGGCGCGGGCCCGGCCGGCAGCCGCGGCGGCCGCGTCGTGTGGGCGCTCAGCGACACGCATCTTGTAGTCACTGGATTTGACAAGTTAGTCATTTTTTTATACCAAATGTATGGTAATATACCTCTGTACAAAATCTATATTTATTTATGGTAGAGGAAATGTATAGGAAGAGGAAATATCCTCTATTTGTGTGTCTTCCTCCGTCAAAGGGTAACGTAACTGTAATTGCGGATGACGGCAGGTCACTTCGTCTTTTCAGGTCGCTAGCTCGTTTGCATATAAAAAAATATCCATTCTGATATAATAAAATAAACACACTTTGTTATATGAGATGTCAGTAATCACAGTATATTGTTGAATAACTATTTTTTAAATTTAAAGCCTTACACACTTACAACACGCTATAGGCTCTGTATTTTCACTATATTTAATAATTTGGATAAAAATCGTCATGCGAGAGGGACAAAAACTACAAGCCAATAGCAAAGAAGCAAGATTTAACGGTAACTTTTAGCTAAAAGCATAGATAGGCTTTATTGTCATGTTTTGTATAATAAAATAAAGGATTTACGAGTGAAGCCGCACGGGAATATCTAGTTTCATAACGGCATTTTTAGCCAATAGGCTTCGGTCATGTTTTTTTGGAATTTAAACGAAAAAAAAAGAAAACACATACAGACGAGTTGAGTACCTTCTTTTGTAAAGTGGGTCAAAAAAAGGTTTTGCGGGTGAACACGGGAATATCTAGCGTCACTCGAGGTCTCGAATCATCATCATCCACTTGGCCTTATCCCTTACGGAGCTCTCTATCAGCTATATCTCTATCAGCCTCATATCATAGGTCTTTTTATGTAATAGTAAATGTTAATGTTTAACGAGTATTTGTGGTATTGCAGGGTGTCGGAGCGCCAGATCCTGCTGTACGCAGCGAGCGAGCTGGGCGCGCCGCTGTGCACGGTGGGGCTGGACGTGTCGCCCGCCATAC